GGCCATCATGTGGGACAGGCAAGGAAAGCGTGCTCCCCCCTTTGCAAAGCTGAGCATCTGCCACCCGCATTGTGGTGTTTATTGGTGGCTGTCTTCATCCCATCTCGTTGCACTTTGACAATCAAGAGGCAGCTCGGATGCTAACTCCTGAAAGGAGATGAGCCTGCTCCCACCCTTCACAAACACAGGCAGGGCAAAAACCCTGCCTAAATCCTTAGTGTCAATGTGGGGAGATGCTGAAGCTGAAGCAATGGTAGAAGAAATTCAAGAGTATATCAATAAATTCAACACTAACAAATGGGCAGAACCAGGTGGTGATAAGTAAAGGAGATTTCCAGGGGGGGATGATAACATCAGCAGTCCCATGGTTAAATACACCAGCAGAGGGATAGCCAATGACTCTTGCAGGAGGATGCCATGCCTCACTGGTTGGAGTCATAGAACCATAGGCTGGTTTGGGTGGAAAAGGACCTTAAGATCATCTAATTCCAATCCCCTGCCATAGGCAGGAACACCTTCCACTAGATCAGCTTGCTCCAAGCCCCATCCAAACTGGCCTTGGACACTGCCAGGGATGGAATAAGAAGATCCTTTTGGATACCAACATCTGTTTGATAGATAGGAAGCAAAGATTTAATACAAGGCTTCCTTAGCAGAGCAAGGTTTGAGGAGAGAGGAAATAGCCCGTAGAAACCTGACTCTGAGCTGGAAGAGCTCCTCTACAGCACCCTGGAAAAGACACAGTTGGAAGAGCTGGATGCTCTGGCTTGGAAAGAAGAATATGACACAGGTCATTAAAATCCTGCATGGTGCTGAGGTGATTAATCAATATTTCTTCATAACTCAGGAAGGAAACAGCGCCCAGGGAGATTTCCAAGCAGCAGATTTCAAGGCAGAGAGTGAAGTATTTACTGCACATGCTGAAGCCACACTGTCCTCACATGGGGATGCCAAACATCAACCAAACTGACATCAGAAACCAGCCCTTCATCAGCCCAAATCCTCCAGACCCTTGTTCTAAGATGAAGTTATGCATCACAAAGCCAGGCAGTGCTCACTCCATGTGTAGCTCCAAACACCCAGCACTGTGTTACTGCTGCGCTGGCACTTACTTGCTGCTGTTTATAACCTCTGAGATGAAGCATGAAACATCCGTCCTGCTGCCACCCCATGGCTGGCCTATAGCCCCTCACCCTCTGCGCTCCCCTCAGCTCCTCCCTCCAAAAGTCAACAAGCTGGTAAATGAAATCCATCTTGGGGGAGATGAGCTGTTGGCACTGACCGTGTTCAGTCCCTCCGCAGCAATTTGGTGCAACGTCTTCTCCATCACCCCAGGTGTGGGCTGGAAACCCTGCAAAACCCATAGGGTGTGGGTGCGTGCCTCAAATCGAGGTTCACCCCTGGGTCTTGGTGATGGGTTGGGTATGGGAACATCCCCCTCCACTCGCCATGGAATGTGTCTCCTGCTGCTCTTCAAGCAAACCTAGGCGGCATGTGGCAGGTACAGCCCCTCGTCCTTCCTCCAGGTCCTGTCGGGGCTGATGGTGTTCATGCCACCATCTGCATCTCAAACCTTGCGACATCCTGTTTTTCGTGGGGTTTTAAGCACCTCCACAGTTAACCACAGTCAACCAAGACGTGCAGCTGGAGGCACCCCAACCCTGAGGGGACCTGATACAGAAATCAAGGTCATGGCAGACAGAAATGCACCAAGAGCTGCTAAAACCCCACTGCTGTGGCTCTGAGCCCCCCTGAACCAGAGAGGATCTCTCCTCCCACCCTAAACCTGCCCCTGCCACCACCAGCAACACCGCTTGCTCCCATCTAACACAGCCACTCTGGGATCATTTGGAAGTACTGGCGCTGAAGCTGATTTCACTCCTCATGGGCCACCCAGCACCCAGAGCATCCTCCCCAGCAGACCTGGTGCTCACAGCAAACGTAGAAACCAAAGAGAGACCAAACCCACACAAACCAGCCCCGGCGCTCAGCACTTGGGATAAGAGTCTGTGCTCCTGGCTCAAATCCCCCTTGCAGGAGCCCAGGCTATGGGACACAGAACAGCAGTGCTTGGATTTGCTGTTCAAGCCATCTGAGTGATCCAGATCCTGAACCAGATCCAGCCTTCCCCAGGCTCAGGCACCTCATCCCAAATCTCAGCTGGAGTTTGGGCTGACCCACGGCTCCACTCCATGGTCTCCAGCTGTTTTCCCCAAACCAGGAATGTGCATCTTGCTTTGTAAACTGAATCTGCAAATACCAGAAACAGGTGACTTAAAAGCAAAAGGAAGCAGAAAAGTCTCCAGTTTTCAGCTGGTTTTGGACATCCTCTCCTCAAAGGTTGTGGGAGTGCAGGAATGAGACCAGGCACAGCTCCTGCTGATTCAAATCCCTCTAAAATCCTGACCTTTCTCCCAGTCTCACTATTTTTAAGACAACCGGTAACCTTAAAAACAACCTTTGACATTATTTGGCCACATTCATTTCTGGGTGAAGCTCAAAGATGTGGTACAAGGTTTTCAAATGAGCTTTGAACCTTGTTCCACAAGATCGGGAGGAGCGGGTCCGCTCTGAAGCGGGCACCTCCGCTTGCACTTGCTTTGCCAAAGTGACTTTGCATTGCCAGTGACATCCCCTTTTCTGACACGACACCCACCTGTAAAGGAGTCAGTTTTACTCTAAAGAATGACAACAATTTCATCTTATTTCAACATGGGAAATGAGTTCATCCAGAGGATGCATCTCAACCCTCATCCTTGCACCATCCTTTGCACCCCCAACGTCTCCCCTCTACCCCGTTTCAGTTTCAAACACCACACGTTGTGTTTCAGCTGTTTTATTGAACTTTGCGTATGAAAGAACAGTTTCAAGTTTTAATGAAAAAAAAAAAGCAAAAAAGAATACATTAAAAAAATAAATTCAACATCAGGTAAAAAACCCACACAACCAAATAAAAAGAAATCACTTTTTTGACTGGTAGCTGAACACAAGGCCCACACCACAGTGGAGGTCACCAGGACAGTGGGATGCAGCAGCTTGTTTTAGCATCAGACTGGTGCCAGATGAACATGTTTAAACAACCGCAACACAGCAAACACTGGCAAAACCAGAGTTTAAAATGAGCTCAGGGTAACAAGACTGCACTTTACATCTCCAGTCCTAAATTGCATCATTTCTGTGGCACCTGTTAGCCAGGATTTAGCCTTCCCTAGTAGAGAAGGCTTTAGTATTTCAGGCTGATATCTTGAATTTCACAAGGCAACATTTCATTGCTCAAGTACACCCAACGTGTTTCAGTTGAAACAGTCATGGAACCAGTTCAGTGTTACCCACGTGAAGGAGGGGAAGCAAAGCCAAAATTATATCCAGCCACCTCAATCCCTGGAAGATCCCATGAAACTAAATTGCATAGTAAAGGATGGGAAAATAAGAAACATGAGCTGCTGCTCTGTTGGAGGTCAATGGTTGATGCAACGTCTCCCATTTGCAATGTGTTGGGGCCTCAGGTGATGAATTAAGATGCTAAATTCAGCTGTGGGAATGTCTGACCTTCAGCAGTGAAGGTGATTTTCCTGCCAGACCTGAATTACCAAGTCCCTTTCCAATATACTAATGGCAGCACAAGGGCAGCAAACACATCATTTGGCATTAAAACTGCCCCATTTCAAGCACTGTTTTCCTGGCTACATTTCCTCTTAATACCATTCACTTGCAAGTCCTGCTTTCCCAATGATCTGGCATTGCCAGACACATTGCCCTGCTCTGAAATCATCCTCAAGAATAGGAGTGACATTTAAAACACAGCATAGGTGGCCTGGCCTTGCAGTGGTCAGAGAGATGATGTATTATGCAAAACACCGGGAGATGACAGCAGCATCTCGGGCCATTCCATTAAAGATGCACTGATGATGGCATCTTGGGGAAAGCAAAAGGAAAAAGGGAAAAAGAAACATAATTTTGCTGTATTGGAGGTTGGTAGATGAAAAGATGGGGATTATCATAGAATCCAACTGGTTTGAGTTGGGAGGAACTTTACAGCTCCTCCAGCTCCAACCCCTGCCACCGGCAGGTACACCTTCCACTAGAGCAGCTTTGCTCCAAGCCCCTGTGTTCAACCTGGCCTTGAACACTGCCAGGGATGGGGCAGCCACAGCTTCTCTGGGCAACAGAGACGTGCACTTGAATTCAAACCCCCCTCAGAACACATCCACGTGTGTGCACTCATCAAACCTCCTGTGTGCTCAATATATAATATATATTATATATTATAATATATAATCAAAATATATTATTTTGCAGGTTTTTTGCCAGCACCGGTGGACAGAGGTGGAGGCCAGGCCAGGTCTGCAGGAATCCTGACTTTTATCCCCAAATCCAGCAAAGCAGGCTCACAGTATTTCATATATTGCCCCTGAAAGCATCTTCCAGCTAAGCACCATCCCACCGGCCGCATCCACTGAGCCTTTGTCAGTGCCCTCAAACACTTTCTGAGATGTTTTGCTTACTAATTTCACTGTCTTCTTTAAACGCCTTCACACTTGCTCCTACAACATGTGGTTTTACCTGACCCTATACCAGCCCAGCTCCCTAGATCTGCTTTTCCTGCCTATCCAGCAGGACAGACCCAAAGGCAGAGCTCTCATCACTTGAATTGCACCCTGGAATGAAGAGCTGGGAGTGATGGTGTACAGAGCTCGCTGGAGATGGCAGCAGTGCTGGGCACAGAGGAGGAACATCTACGTGTTCAGCGTCTAAAGAGCACGTCTGATGCTCAGCATCTCAGAGCACGTCTTTGAAGGGCTATGAATAAAGATGAGCAGCCTGCCTGCCTTCGGATGATTATGGGAATCAAAGCTCGCTGGGGTTTGGATCTTCTCTTGATGTCAGCCACCGTTCAGTCACTCCCTATTTTGTTTTCTAATCGACTGGATACATTTTTAATTTGCCTTCCCTTGCCAATCCAGCCCTGTGCTCCAAACGCCATTCCAACACGCCTGCCCCCATACCATCACTATCTTTAAGACACACAAGGCGAGCCAGAGTCATGGCAACACATTAATGTACGGGACTGACAAGTAGAGACTAGCAAACTCAGTTAATCGGAAATAGCACATTAACAGTTAGCTGGCTCAGCGACCAAGCAAAAGAAACCCAACAGCGTGGAGCAAAGTGGTCAAGGCCAGGATGTACAATACCAAGAGGAGGTGGAGATTCGGCAAGATCAGCATCGGTGGGAGATGTCCATGGGGTGGGTTTGGTGCTGGTTGGGAGGAACAGAGCAGTGGGTGGCCACAGGCATTCTGCTGTGGGAAGCCACCAACACAAATGGGTGAAGGGGTCTGGTATTTCCCATCACTTTGCTTATCAAAATATGCTCTTGAACCCTAACAGAGAGACGCTTTAACAAAGTGGCTGCTGCAAACAGAGGTATAGTTATGTTACACACACACAAGCCATACAAAAGCTCTGTAACACTGGTGAAAAATAAAGATCACTTTAGTACTGGTACATCCTATCCCCCATTCTAAGGGCTACTAGATCGTGTTCCAAAAGAAACTAAATTTAACACCTTTGGGACCAGGGCTTCCCAAGATCCAGGTCTGTGTTGCGATCTAGAATGTCAGCTCTTCTCCTGTTAATGAGCCATTCCCACTGTGGGCAACCCAGGACTGTCTGCAGGGCTGTGGGGGGACACTGGGTCAGACCTTCAGTGGGTCCTTTGGCTGTTTGCAGCCCCAGAATCACCAGCACGGTAGAAAAGTGCTTTCTGGGTCAGTCCCTTGAGATTTCAGGGTTGCTAAAAGCTTTGTTCAATCACCTTTGCAGCCTCCAGAGCACGCTGTGAACCCATAATGATGAGGGAATGCTGCAAACAGATCTGTTTTACAGGCTCTTAGTGGGTTTGGAGGCGAGATCTCCCCAGAAAGCCCAGTCTCATCTCCCCCAGCCTTCTGGCAGCTCCATCCATGGTAATGGGGAATAGGCCACTGCTCAGTTATTTGGGGTGATGGAAACAGGCTCAGCCCTCACTCCCTGAATACCAGTGACCTTTTCCGGTCTCTTTTAAAGGGGCTTTTAAAGGTTTCAGAGTTTTTATGGTCTGAGCATTAATTCTGGTGCTCAGAAATTCTGGTGAAAGTTAAGGATCATTTTAGTACTGGTACATTCTACCCTGCATCTGCAGGATCAGACAGCCCCGGGGAGCACTGGTCCCAAATCAGGGCATGGGACAGATGCCCGGGAGGCGGGTTTTGGCTGTGCCACGTTAAGACACAGTTGGTCACAAAGGAAAAAGCTCTTTAAGCCCATCCTCAGGCTGCAGCAGTGCCGAGGTTACTGCCGGATCCCGAGGGATTTGCTGGCAGAGATGGAGGATCCCATGGAGGAGCTTCCATTCCCTACCCCCTGCCGGCTGCCTCAGGGCAGGGCATGATCAGATGTGAAGTTAATGAGAGCCACCATCCCAATTAGCTTTGATTTGTGCAGACGCCTTTCACACCAGATTGATTTCACACCACGGGATGCTTCACCTCCACGAATCCCCGGCATCCCTCTGTCAAGCCTTGGCATGCCCAGCAAATCCCTGAGGGATCAGAGATCTGCTCCTTGGGCTCTCCCGGCAGCCCTGGTTCCCAACCCACCTCCCTCTGGACCTCGTGCTGCAAAAACCATGGCAAACCCCAGTGCCAGCAGCACCAGCCCTTTTCCAAGTCATTCATCCACAGCTCCAGTGACCATAGGGTTTCTACCATGCTGGGACTAAATGCAAACAAGCCCAAGGAGCAATGTCGCACTAAGGGCCAGATCCGTATTTGCTCTTCATTCCCCAAGGTGGGCAACCCAGCTTTGACTAAAACGGGTGGGATTTCACTCTTGTTTATCTCTCCCTGTCTCAGCCTGTTGTCCCCAGCCTGTACCAATGCAGAGCCCAAGAAACCTTCATCTTTGGGACCCCCAAACCCTGCTCCCAGGAACAAGGTCTTTCTCCATCACTAACGACACATCTGCCACTACAGAAGGAGGAATCCAAGCCAAGAAATGATCCATGTTTAAAAAGCAAACAAAACAAACGTAGCCTCACCAAAGCCAACACATTCCTTTAAGAAGCACATCATTTCCCCACCGTGAAGGGGATTTCTCAATCCTCATTTCGGCTGAAGTTTGCACTGGGGACAGCCAGAAAAAGAGGATGCTGAACTGCAGATAGGTCTGGAGCAATCCCAGCCCTGAACGGTGCCTCAGAAACCCTCTTGGTTCATCTTCAAAGCTCTTCTGCAAGGAGAAACACATGGTACAGACAGCTGGTTGCTTTGCCATGAATATTCCCTTGAGTTTTCCCATTTCAGAGCCTTCCTTCTATGTAGGTTGTTTATTTTTAAGTGCATCCTCACTTGGGTTGTGCCTTGAAGCATCCCACATGTGTCTCCTGTGAATGTTCCCCATCTCCTGCCCGGGATCTGGTTTGAAATGCAGGTAAAGAGCTCTGCTCAGTGAAGGATCCAGGTTGCAGTGCTGCCCTCCAGGCAGAGTGGTCCTTGCTCCACTTTCCAGGTCTCCAGTGAAGACCTCAAGTCTTGTCCTTGGACATGGACCCAAAGCAATCAGTGACATGAATTCAAGAGTCTGCTTCACATGCCTCATGGTTTTGTCTCCCGCTACCTCCCCTTGGGCATCCTCTGCTTCAGAGCAAGCTCCAGCTCACTTTCCTTGGTCCAGTCCAAATTACATTCCCCAGACCGTTCCTGGTCACTTATTGCAATGCAGACACAGAGGCTCCCGGCCTCACCTGAGTACCATAACAATGCTGTTGTATCACCTTGCTCCTTCAACAGAGTATGTGCCAGGTGGGTTTTAGTCTCAAAGCTGGGATGGAGGCAGCGTGCAGAGGCGGATGATGCTGGGGCAAGGACAGGGAGCCATCAGAAGAAACCATCAATCCCTTTGCCGTTTGCATTTATGCCTTTGCAGATGATTTATCCCTTTGCAAACCATCTATCCCATTGCACTGGGATAATATTTACTCATATGGTCCTAGGAAATGGATCTAGGTCCTAGGAAATGCAGTGAGGTTATAGAAACCCCAGGTTTAACAGCTTCACAGCCCAGTGTGGGCAACCCACAGCTCTTAACCCACCACAGAGAAGACCTTGGCATGCAAAATGAAACAGCAACAGCAAAGGAGTGATGGGCTTCCTGTTTATTATAGTATTAGCAAGACAATACTATAATATTCCCTTGGGATTGAAGTACCATGGAACAGCAGAGAAGGGCATATGGGCTCTTACGAAATTCAGAGGCACGACCAGCCAGGATCAGGTTTTTACACCTTTTCCACCCCTGGAGATCGCACTTTTCCTTAGCTTTTCATGGAAGGATCCTGAAAGGAAGGCACAACTTGTTGACTGTTCAACACCATATTCCTCAGAATCAGTGGAGATGTTCCTTTCCTAATGAGGACTTACAATAAATCACAACCTTTGGTACAGCACATACCTACTCATGAAGAGCATTTACAGGAAAGTCAGGAAAATGGAACAGGAATTATTCACATCCCAGTGATGAAAACAGCCCGTGGCCTTCCACAGGGAACAGTGAGAGCGACTGAACTTCCCCCATTTCCCTCCCACCCCAAGCAAAACACTTGGACTGCTTATTAGCAGCTCTGGTTTATGTTTCCTTTTGGGTTGCTTCATCTTCCAAGAGATATTTTTAAATTCTATAAAAAAAGACTAAAATAATGTCCAAATGGTTTCCACCTCCCTCCTCCTCCTTCCTGGCTTTGTTCAGTCTCATTATATTGCACATGGTTTGAAGATAATCTTCTGGCTGCAAAGATGTTCCCTTCTACATAATGCACTTGTTAGAAAACCCAGATAACGTGGCAGGTATTTCATAGATGAAATATGAAATGGGTTTCACGGGGGAGGACAGATCCTGTGTCGGTCGGATCCACAGCAGCATCAGTCACCGTGTCCATGATATTCGCCATCTCCTTGGAGTCATTTGATTTCTCAACACACTCCTGAAGGTCTTAAGTTTGAAACTTCTTCTGTTATCTGTTGGGCAGAGCAAAGAACCACTTTTATACACAGCCTGGTCTGGGAAACAAGCAGCAACTGATTATTCTTTTCCCAAAGTAAAGTAGAAGAGATGTTGCACATTGGTCCCCTCCAACAACTTCCCATCTTCATTTCCCCACAAATAAAGATCTCATTAGAATTCTTTCACAGACTAAAAACAACACAGTCAAAGGGAGCTAAAGATAGAAAAAAGATTCATTAAATACATTCTGGTTCTTAACTATTATCTCTCATTAATGGCAAGTTCCAAATCCAGAATAATTAGAGCAAAGTGGGTTTTCCTCATCATGTTTTTATCTTAATCAAGCTGGGTTTTTTCCAGCCTGATATGATTCACATGATATTAAGCAACTGGTTGATCTTACAGTGAAGGTGCTCCCAAGGAGCTCAAACCTGAGACCCCATTTCGATGGAGAGATGGAGAGCTCTAGCAAAGGGCAACAAAAAATCCCCCAACCTCTGCTGCTGAGCCCATGCGGGGCATGAACCACCTGGTACTGACCATGTTTGCATTGAAGCCTAATAACTCATGAAGAGAAGGCTCAGGGGGGACCTGATGGCTGCCTACAAGTGCCTGAGAGGAGGATGGAGCCAGGAGGGGCTGGGCTCTGCTCCCAAGGAACAAGGGATGGGACAAGAGGAAACGGCCTCAAGCTGCCCCAGGGCAGGTTTAGATGGAGCTGAGGAACAATTCCTGCCCCAGAGGGTGCTCAGGCATTGGAACAGGCTGCCCAGGGCAGGGCTGCAGTCACCGTCCCTGCAAGTGTTCACACAGCGTGGAGACGAGGCCTCAGTGCCATGGGTTAGGGGTGGCCTTGGCAGTGCTGGGAATGGTTGGACTGGATGAGCTGAAAGGGCTTTTCCAACCTGGTTCATTCTGCATGAATCTATGAAGGGACTCATCCTGACTCCTGCCTTACTCTAGTGAGATGCTCTGCTCTGCCTTTGAGACACTGAAATACTCAGAAACTTCATGCAACTGTTTACAGCCCTTTTGTTTTCTCTGCCTTTAGTTCTCACCATGGCAACTGGAGCATCCCACCTCCTGCATCCTGGGCCATGCGCCTGCCTGTCTGGGGCTTAGCCAAATTCCCTGGCGGTTTAGGCCTTGTATAAGTCATAGGAGTCACACATCCGAATTCTGGCCCTTTCACAGTTAATTTTCAAGTGGGAATTCGGAAAGCTTCCTATAGTGAAGTTCATCAACTATATTAAAACCAGTGTGTGGTGCACACTAATAAGATGAGCCCTACCACCAAACCAGATTATGTGAGCCAGATGCTTCATTGGCAGCCGGTGATGAGACAAGGGAAGGAAGGATCTGCATTCCCATTTCAGAGCCCAGCCTAAGACACTGGGACGTGCCTGGTTCCAGCTCATCCCCAAAAATGAGCCTATTTTCCCCAAAGGAAAAAGGGGGATAGTATCCATGCACTGAGGAGGATGAGCCCTGTGCTCTGGATGTTGCAGGGATGATGTTGCAGGGATGATGTTGCAGGGATGCTCAAAGCAGGCAGAGAAAGGAGAGAAGTGGGATTTCCCACCAGGAGCAAAGAATCCCTTGCAAGGCAGCATGGCACTTGGGGGAAAATAAGCTACCAAAAGGGCTTAATGCTCCTTGCGTGTGTCTCAGACCAGACAGTTATTCAAGCACTGGTTTATCTTGAAGTGCCAGAAGGACTATTCATGGGCTTAAAGCTAACTGGTGTTTATGCTGTATTACACTGGAATTACTCTTCCCTCCCACCTGCCAGCAGGGAAAGGCTCCTGCTTTTCTGCAAAGCAATGATCAAGCTACTGGGACCCTCAAGAAACACTGGAGCATTGCACAAATACAACCCAAATTGCACCTACAGCTGGCCCAGGAAATAGCATTGGTTTGGCTGGGAAAGGGATGGCTGAGTTTGGGCTCTGCAGATGGAGTGGTAAATAACAATTTCCTCAACCTGGGCAAATAAGCCAGCACTTTGGGGCGTTCTGGTGCCTTTTCAGGCTGTATCCTTGCCCTGGTGGAAAGAAACCCCCAAATCCTCAGCCTAATGATGACGTTATTGCACTGAATTCAGCAAGACCCACAGTGGGAGTGAGAAGTCAGGAGCACTCAGGAGATACTGCTGCTCCTACTCCTGAAGGGATCCAGATGTCTTCCCATCAAATGGAGGTGATGAAATCCTCTCCATTCCAAGAAAAACAGAGGATATTAAACAGCAGCCACAAAAATGAGATGTTTTTAAACCTATCAAGCCAGATAACTTGTATCCAAGCATTAGGAGTTGGCAAAGCAGCCTGAGAAACCGCAAGCATTGAGCATCTCTTGAGCCCCGGACCTGATGGAAATCCAGAAGACTGCAAAACAGCTCCTGTTGGGCCAGTTTGTTAAGGGATAAACAAAATGACCTGCAAAAATGATGGCTCTGGCCATCTGTCCCTAATCCCAAACAATGTGCTGGAATGGCCATAATAGAGAATTAAAGAGGAAGATATAATTGATGCCAATCAGTGCAGTGTTAGGGAAAACACGCCTTATCATATAACTTGATATCTCTTCTTCCCCAGTTTGGCCCTAAAGGGAAGTGCTGTGCAATGCTCTAAGGGAGCTGCATGACAGCTTGGTTAAGGAAAAGGAGCAATAAAGCCAAATTCCTAGGAGATATCCCGTCAGGATATCACATCAGGTGATACCAAGCCAGGAAAGCAGCCTAACCCAGGTCACGTTCGCTGGTCCCCTTCTCCTTGGGCATGCTTTGCTCTCTCAGAGCATTTTGCAACCAGGATGGGAGAGGCATCACTGAAAGGTTTCCAGCCCCAGGGGAGAAAATCCCAGGCTTGTTTCAGACGCTGCAGAAAGGAGATTTCCTCTTTTAATTCAGAGGCTTCTGAAGTGCAGAACATCGCAGACACCTGAAGGGTAAAGCACACACGCTGAGTGCCAGCACCCACCAATGCACACAGCAGAGGTAGAGAACCCCTCTAGCTTGCAGTGCTACACCCAGACTCACAGCAAACTCCTTTCACACCCCTCCTACAAGCTCCACTTTGCAGCAGGCAGGTTCATTTTAAGCCCAAACTTCCTACGTCTCGTTTGTGACCTGCTGCAACAGCTTGAGGTTCAAAGCGTTGTGGAGCTGCAGCTCCAAGCAGAGAGCAGCGAGGAGGAAGAAGAGGGATTTCAGTTAGGAACGCACAGAGATTTCAGGAGAAATGGGCCATAAGGATGGAAAAGCAAGTGCAAAGATGCGAAGTGAAGGAATCAGAGGAGAGGAGGATGATTATGGGGTGGGAGCTGTAGGGCAGAGCTGGCATTCCCAAGCTTTCCTCCAGCTAAGGAAAATAACTGCAGTTCCTGGGGTATCGGGGGAGGATCTGAAGGCTCCGCAAGCTTCCAGAAAGCTGAACTCCATAAAGCCTTGGAGGACTCTTTACTTCTTGCTCTGTGTTTCAAAACTGCCTCCTCCTTCCGCAGTGTGCAAACACTTCGTGAAGCTGCTCAGTGCCATTTACAGGTGGGGAAACTGAGGCTCGGAGGAGCTGAGCTGCCCAAAGCCACCCAGCAGAGCAATAGCAAACACTGCAGGGCTCCCCCTTCCAGGTCTGGGGTGCAGGTACACACATTTTCGTGGACTAACAGCCCAAATCCCTCCAAGCAGCACAGCAACCCCCACCATCCTGCACCGCACTCAGCGCCTTCATTGCAACCGAGTCAAACAGCAAACACATCTCTCTGGGAATGCAAAAAACACTTTGCAAAGCATCCTGTCCATGCTCCGCCGCAACCTTTGGCTTTCCATGAGAGCAGGACACCAAGCAGAGACCCTGCTGCTGGCCACCCTTTTCCTTCATATAGAATCCCAGGAATCCCAGATGGTTTGTGTTGGAAAGGACCTTAAAGCTCCTCCAGCTCCAACGCCTGCCATGGGCAGGGACCCCTTGGAGCAGCTTGCTCCAAGCCCCTGTGTCCAACCTGCCCTTGAGCGCTGCCAGGGATGGGGCAGCCACAGCTTCTCTGGGCACCCTGTGCCAGCGCCTCAGCACCCTCACAGGGAAGAGCTCCTGCCTTAGATCCAACCTGAACTTCCCCTGTTTCAGTTTGAACCCATCACCCCTTGTCCTGTCACTGCAGTCCCTGATGAAGAGTCCCTCTCCAGCACCCTTGCAGTCCCCTTCAGACACTGGAAGCTGCTCTGAGGTCTCCATGCAGCTTCTCTCCTCCAGGCTGAACAGCCCCAGTTCCTCAGCCTGGGCTGAGCCGTCAGTGCTTCCGCCACGATGGAACCATGACATAACCCCAAAGGATTTTCCGTATCTATCCATGAGGCTGCTTCACAGGAAGCAAAGCAAAGCAGCTGGTGCTGGTCAGCATCAAAAGCAAACTGATTGCACTCCGCATCCTTGCCAGCGAGAGCAGAGATAGCCACTCGCTAGTCTAGTTGTGCGAGCCACGCGCTCAAAGCCAGTCTTCCCACCCAGCATGTGTTAAACATGCTAAAAATGAAGAGCAACAACTGTAGAAAAGCAACAGACACGACAGAGCTTAAACATGCTCAGAAAAGCATCTGAATTACAAGGCTTAACGAAATGAATCATTCTTAAACAAACCCAGCAGCGCCGGCTGCCGTCGGCGGCGCTGAGCCGGGGTCTCGAGATCAGTGTGCAGCAGGGTCAGGCGAAGACTGTTCCCATTATGAGCAGGGGAATACTGGCCATTGGGAAGTGTTTCAGCTGCTCCCAACCCGAGTGACAAGCTGAACGAGATAGGAGGCATGTTTTAATCTACTTGAGCACGTCTTGAGTCATAAGAAGGAGAAAGCTGACGGTGCCCTGCGGGGAGGTTCATGCGTGAAGGTTTCCCTGCCCGACTGCAGAGCATCCTCAGCAGCAAAATCAGGCTCTGAGCGGTGATGAGACACAGACAGACCCTGAAACTTGTGCACCTCATGAGGCAGTGCCTTAAAATGGAAGGAAAAGCTCACAGGGGATTTTCTCAGAGCGTTTGTGCCTGAGTTTTGCCAGCAATCGCGATAAAACAGCTCCAGGTACCAGGGCAGAGTGGGACCCCACACACATCCCTCTTCCACATGCAGCAAGGTTCTCATGAGCAAAAATGGGATTTGCTGGGTGACAAAGATCAGGATCGCTGATGCTGTCCCAGTGCAAAGCAGCGAATCCAGGCCCATCAGGTGGGATGAATGTTGCTTTGACAGAGATATCATTACTCATTTTCCTGTTTGGGGTAAAAGATTCCAGCTATGCACCCCCAGAGTCGAGCCAAGCATCCCGTTCAGACCACAGCAGGGAAGGGTGCAGAAGGGCAGTACCATCAGTAACAGAGACAATTCATAGGATATTTCCCTGCCCACAGCGCTCTATGATGTCCAGAAAGTCCCCATTTCCCTGCACCCATCGCCCATACAACGGCCTTTGCACGAGGCTGCCGGTGCACTGAGCTCTGCCTCCCAGTACATGCAGCAATTGAGACCGAAGGGCACAACGAGTGCCATTGGAATCCTGTTTGCTTGCGCTCCCAGCTCTGCTGCACACCCAGAGATCACTTGTTAAAGCATGGGCTGTGCTGGGAGCCTCCGTGTGCTCGCACCAGGATATGCAGATTTTAAAGGCTTGGCAGAAAGAGGGCTCCAAACTACACAATTAAACAGGTTCCGTGTAGAACACTCTCTGTACACACCAACCACTGCAAGAGACCCTTTCCCTGCCCTACAGCTCTGGCAGGAGACACTCTTCCATTGCTGGTGAGCTCTGCATGGCTCCTTCCCTTCTGCTGGGGAAGCTCCTTGTCTGCCCTTTGCCTCTGTTGAACTGTCCCTCAGGTGGGAATTAGCAACAGAAACGACTTCTTCTGTCAAGTGATGGAGCAGGAACAACTGCCTGGGAAGAAATTTAACCCTCCTGGAGGAAAGAGGTATCTCCAGCCCTTGTTAGCATCCACACATAGGGTGGAATGGATCCTGCCCTGCTCCACCACAAGCACCTGAAGGGCTTCTGTTGAGCTGCAGAACAACAGAAATCAGGCCTAAAACACACACAAAAAGGGAAAATAACAAGAGAAAAAGGGGACAGTGCCAAAGAACCCAGTGGAGGGGCCAGGGTTAGGGTTCCTTTGTGTCCCCTGCACCCCCTGGTACCAAGGATGTGTTTTGAGGTGGCATCCAGGGCTGAAATGGGAGAACAGGTCCTAAAATCCAAGCAGAGGGAAAGGGACATTCACCTGGGAAAGGAGGTAGGAGCCTGTACAAGGCTCTCTATCACCCAGTGCCTATATATAAACTGAATATACAAAGCATCCAGGGGCTTTATCACTGAGGTGGGATCTCCCTGCTCCCATCCCTTGGTGCCATCAGTGTCATCTTCTCTCTTATACAACAGGTAGGAAGGACATGGGAGGAGGAGGAGGGCATTTCGGAGAGCATCCCTGCCACGCTGCACATGCAAACAGCAAGCTGAGGACCCCACACACAGTCCACACGCTTCAGGGACCCTGCCTTCCCCCACTCGCTGCCTGTGCAATCTGAAATGTCAGCCAGCAGCTTTCAGTAATGCACTTTCCTCCATCTAATGTAATAAGCTGAGGCTAGGCAAGCCCTTCTCCTTGCAGACAGCAGGCAGGCAGCTCTGCTAATATTAATCTCCTAATGCTGCCCCTCTAAGCACATTAGAAACAGTCAAGTCCGGCATGCTGCAAAGGCTGAGGCTCATCTTTAACTCCCCAGTGATGGTTAAAACAGTCCTAGCTCCTAATAGGAGGCACATTGCAAGAGAGCAAAGGAAGTTAAATAAGCAGCTGGCTGCAAAGAGAGCAATCTTTCCGTGATCTCTCCAATTCCTGGCACAGCACATGCAGGAGGCAGTTCAAGAGAGGCTGTCAGACTGAATGGTACCTAATGGAGCAGCACAAAGGGAAGAAGCAGACAGAAATGGGGCAGACCATGGGAAGCATATCCCTGGGTTTCCTCTGCCAGGTTTTGGGGTGTATCTTGAAGACAGAGCAGCAGTGATTCAATGGTTGTTAGTGACAGCATTTGGCACTGGGGCAAAACTGCCTTTTCATGGAATCACAGAATCCCAGACTGGTTTGGGTTGGAAAAGACCTTAAGATCATCCAGTTCCAACCCCCTGCCATGAGCAGGGACACGTCACCCTGAGCCATTTTGCTCCAGCGGATGAAGTGGTTTCTTTGCCACCTCTCCCAAACAGCATCTTTTATTGTCAATCAGATCCATCGGGAATTATTCTGTCTTCACAAAGTAAGGCAGGGATTTGCCAGGAAAGCAAAGAGCAACCTGCAAGGTTTCTGCTTATTTTAGATGGCAGAGAAACCAAAATCTGCTGTGCCACTTCCCGGAGAACGTGTGGTTTCCTGCCACAGGGAACAGGCAGACACAATCCCAAGTGGGGCTGTTTCCACTGCTTTTAAACTCAAATCCTCCTTTTAGGAGTAGGATTGGGGGAGAGCTTTAACAACAGTACAAAGTGAGAGCTTGGAGGCAGGAATGACTGTCTGGCAGTGTGGGGAAAAGGCACTCTGGGGTGTTCCCAGTTATCCCAGAAGGGATCCCAGGTTTATTACCTCCTGAAATGCTCCAGAGCATCTCCCTCGTAAGGACCATTTGTTAGATCATTGAAAACTACAGTAACTCAAATAAAGCTGTCACATTTAGTCAAGAGGCTGCTCTGATGTTTTCCCTGGTTATAAGGGGTTTATTGACTGGGGTTAAGGCAGAGTGCTATAAACTGTCCTGATCCTTTAAGTGTGGCTAAAATCCCAGCTAAACTCTGATTCCGGCATGGACAGCATCCCTCAGGACAAATTCCCCTTTCCACACACATGAGAAAGGTTTGACTCGTCTCCCTTTTCATAGAAGGTATTTACCAGCCCTGTGCAGGACACTGCCTTGAGGGAAACTGCTTTTATTCAACCCAAACCCCAGCAGAACAGAGCAGAGCCGAAGCCAAGGCGCTGCCTTCAGCCTGCTTCGACGGCAGGGGTCAGATTGAAGCATTAAACGGCTGCAAAGTACCTTTTTAGCACCAGAACTGAAGAAATCCAGCTGCACAAAAAAAAAGTAAGCAGCAGGGTTTTCCTCCTGTGTGTAGCACTAAAAAAGCCAATATAATCAGAGGAGCTAGGGGATGTTATCCCACTTCAACACAGAAATATCCCAGAGCAGGAGGGGGAGTGGAAAAATAAAGCTAAGCAGTGGAAAGCACGAGGTTTGTCCCCAAAGCCAACGTTACCTCATGGTGCTGTTAAACACTACCCCGTGCAAAGCTCACCTGATCCCATCAGATGTCCCGTGGCCCCTGGTGCACACATAAGGATGAAGCCGGTGTGTTTATCCCGGCGGGGGGTTGGTTACTTTTCCATCCTGCTCTTTACACATCTGGTTTCCAAAAGCTGATGGAGTTCCTCAGCCGAGCTTTCCCGACTGCTGCTCGAAGCCGTTTCACATGGGATTTAGGGAATACACCAGGGCTCATGGGGTGCAGGGCGAGCTCTAGGCTGTTCTCGGTGCTTGCAGATGAGGCTCTATCCCCAAATCTCAGTGCCAAGGTGTGAGCTCCTCTGCAGGGAGCGCTGGGTCTGGGGTGTGCTTATTGCCTGTGGGAGCTTTATTCAGCAGAGGGAAGGCACACCGTGGCCATGGCCTGGGAATGGAGTGCTGGGATGGGGTCACGTCGCGTGGCCGAGCTGCAGGGTCCTGAGGGATGACGGGGCTGGAACCATCTGGAAAGGTTTTTTGCGGGAAGAGCGAGGCCCAAGGGGGGATGGGAGAAGGGGTGCCATGACAACCTTTGGGGGTTTCCCAGGAAACCAGGGTCGCCATGGCAACTGCATCACTCCTGTCCGAATCAGTGACTTCCGCTGGAAGGCGTGTTTGCCACTTTAATCTCCTTGCGATAAGCGGCTGCATCTCTCCCAAACCCAAAACACAAGGAGGAAATATCCCTTTGTCTCCAGCTGGGTTGTTGGAGGCTGCAGAGGAGCCCATCATGGATCCTGCACCCCCTGGTCCATGTCGGCATCGCTCCCTGTGCACCGTCAGCTCCTGTAACCATCCCCTTTCACCTCCCTCCTCCCTGTACCCAGACCCGCTGCACAGCCACAGATCTGATGCTGGATGAAATGATACCAAAGGGTTACAGAGGAAGGGAATTAAGAACAGAAAATGAGGGTTTGGGGGCTGGTTTTCTCTATTTCAATCAGCAGTGACTGCCCTTGGTCTCCGATCAGATTAGGATTCCCTGAACAATCTAAAGAAGGAGAAAGGGAATCTGTGATGTGCCCGTAGCAGCACATCACGTTTTGATGTGAAGCATCATTTAGCAATGTGGTAACAGAGGCTCTGCAAAATTAAATGGTCATTTCCTCCCACCCCCCCTTCCAGCACGCTCTGCAACATGATTTCCTTGTCTCCCCACCCAGTCCTGGGCTGTTAATCCAACAAGTGAGTTTATGTGATGGAAGGGAAATCGGCTACACGCTGCCTTAGGAAAAGAGGGGGAGAAATCCAGGAGCAAAGCGAGAGGTCCCCAAAGCCGAGAAAACAAAAGCAGCCCTGCAACACGTTGCAGAACAACCACTTGTTTGGGCAGCGAGTGGGTTTTGTCTTCATCTTCCTCCTCTTTTACCTTTGCGCCGTCCTCTGGAGAATCTGAGATCTTTATTTGGCTCTTTAGAAAGGAAGGAGCTAAAAAAACAAACGTCTAAACCCGAGGGCACACAGAGACCGACGATGGTGCATGTTCCACACGACACCGAGGACACAGTCACTTTGCATCATTATTGTTGGTTTGATTTTCTACCTCACCCTCAGATTTTGTTGCTGTTTGGTTGGGTTCGGGTTAGGGGAGGGGGGGGTGCTGATTTTTAAACATCCGTAAAGATCTTTTTGATGTTCACACAGTTGGGATTGTTCGTGGTTGTGCAGTTGCCTGTTTTAAAGGCAGCCTGTTTGAATGCACTGTGGTTGATCCCCCCTTCCTCGATCACCATGTACTCGGACTTGCTGAGGGTGGAATTGCTGCGAGCCTTCCTCATCTCCTCGCTGGAGGAGAGGTGCTGGCAGCTCCCGACGTGCATGTACTGGGCTTGCTCCTCACCTTCTGTCTCCCGGTGGTAGAAGTAGTTGAAATTGGAGACTATGACAGGCACGGGAAGGGCGATGGTCAGGACCCCAGCGATGGCACAGAGAGACCCCACGATCTTGCCCCCAATGGTGATGGGGTGCATGTCCCCGTAGCCCACTGTGGTCATGGTCACCACTGCCCACCAGAAGGCATCAGGGATGCTACTGAAACCTGAACTGGGGTCATCAGCTTCTGCGAAGTAAACGGCGCTGGAGAAGAGGATGACGCCGATGAAGAGGAAGAAGATGAGCAAGCCCAGCTCCCGCATGCTGGCCTTGAGGGTCTGCCCCAGGATCTGCAGCCCCTTGGAGTGCCGGGACAGCTTGAAGATACGGAAGACCCTGACCAGCCGGATGACTCTGAGGATGGCCAAGGACATGGCCTGCTGGCCGTTGCCTTGCCTCTCAGCCAGCTCAGTGCCCAGCGTGATGAAGTAGGGAATGATGGCCACAATGTCAATGATGTTCATGATGTTCTTGGAGAAGGTGGCCTTGCTAGGGCAGGCAAAGAAACGGACCAGCAGCTCAAAGGAGAACCAGATGATGCACAAAGTCTCCACCACAAAGAAAGGGTCGGTGAAGGATGACACCATGGAAGTAGCCGGGGACGAGGAGTTGGTGAAGACATCAGGTTGGAGAGGACCACCACCCATCCCAAATGTCCCCCCAGTTCCCTCATAGTCGTGGTCATCCCTGAACTCTGGCAGGGTCTCCAGACAGAAGATGACAATAGAGATAAGGATGACCAGGACAGAGACAATTGCAATGCCTCGGGCTGGCCCAGAGCTCTCGGGATACTCAAAGAGGAGCCACACTTGGCGCTGAAACTCCTTATCGGGAAGTGGCCGCTGCTCCTCTCGAATGAACCCCTCATCCTCCCGGAACTTCTCCATGGCCTCCTCCCCCAGCTGGTAGAAGCGGATCTCCTCGGAGAAGATGTCGATGGGGACGTTGACGGGTCTCCGGATGCGCCCACCCGACTGGTAGTAGTAGAGGATGGCATCGAAACTGGGCCGGTTTCGGTCGAAGAAGTACTCGTTGCGCAGGGGGTCGAAGTAGCGCATCCTCTTCCGAGGGTCCCCCAGCAGCGTCTCGGGGAACTGCGCCAGGGTCTTCAGCTGGGTCTCAAACCTCAGCCCCGAGATGTTGATCACCACCCGCTCGCAGCACTCGTGCTCCCCCCCGCCCGCGGGCTGACCCGTGGGGACGGCGGCCGGAGCCTGGGGGTGCTCGTAGCGGTCCCCCCCGAGCGCAGGGTGAGGATGCTGCTGCGGCTCCTCCAGCAAAGGGTCGCCGCCGCCGCCGCCTCCTCCCACCACGGTCATGCTGCCTTCCTCCCCTTCGTCACCTTCTCCCTCCTCTTGCTCGGGGGCCGGCTGCGGGGCGGCGGGGGGCAGCGGCTCGGTGTAGCCCAGGTTGTGGTGGCTGCTGGTCGAGCCGCCCCGCGGATGGCGGCTGCAGGAGGAGGCAGCCGGAGAGTGGAGCAAGCTCCGGCGCTCGTCCATAAAGGTGTGGGGCGGAAGGGGAAGAGGGGCGGAGGAGCGGAGAGGCGGCAGCGAAGCCTCTTCTTCCTCTTCTTCCTCTTCTTCCTCCTCTTCCTCCTCCTGCGGGCGGAGAGCGAGAAGCCGCCGCTCAAGTGCTCCGGCGGCGGCCGCGGCTCTGAGGAGCGGAGGCTCCGCTCAAATAGTCCGCCCCCAGCGCTGGCGCCGCCCCGATCAGTCACTGCTACAGAGACACCCACAGCACCCAGCGCTGCCCCACAGCACCCAGCGCTGCCCCACAGCACCCAGCGCTGCCCCACAGCACCCAGACCTGCCCCACAGCACCCGGCGCTGCCCCACAGCACCCGGCGCTGCCCCACAGCACCCAACCCTGCCCCACAGCACCCAGACCTGCCCCACAGCACCCGGCGCTGCCCCACAGCACCCAGACCTGCCCCACAGCACCCAACCCTGCCCCACAGCACCCTTCCCACTGCCAAGCTCCCGGAGCATCCTTTGGTGCTCAGCGCGTTGCGAGCAGGCAGAGGTTTCATCCCTGGCAGAAGCACTGCCTGGGAAGAGCGCTCCTGCCCTTCCCATGGGAAGGGGAAATGTGATTTTTCTTCTTCATTTCGGTGTCTGCTGTTGGTTTCCACTCACTGTTTCCAGCCGTGGCGGGGCTGTGGGTGAGGGAAAGCAGCAGCAACAGCCACAGCCATCAACAGTTGCTCTGAATCAGTGTTTTGACTGGTGCTGGGGTATTTGTTTGCTGTACAGAAGACAGAGCGTGTGCCTGTGTCTGCATGCACGTGTGTGTGTAAACATGCATGTGCATGTGTGTGTTTGCGCACGTATGTGTGTGTGCAACCCCCTGGGAAAAGAGAAGTGAAGCTGAGCCAGCCTTCAGTCTGATCCCAAACCTGCATTTCAGGTTTCCTGCAAGGAAGCCGAAAGGCTCTGAGTTTTGCTGTTTCCTCCCTTCAGTTGATCTGATGGAAACAGTTCAATTCTGGTCAAAAAAGGTTGGGTTTTTTTGGCTCTGCAGGAGCCAGTGCTGGAAAATACTGCATCCCCTGGAAATGTGCTCCAGGGACAACTCCTGATCCCTCCACCCCCAGTGGTTCCCTGTTTTCCCACACCCCAACAGCAGAAGTGCTTTAATGCCCATCCACATGCCAAGTGGGATTTGAGCAGCACAGTTTGCTACTGGCTTTGGGAAAGAGCTTGACCATGAGAGTTAGAAAGAGGCCGTGCTGCCATTCCTATTTGATAGGAAGGCTCTGCAGAGGAATCTGTACGGGCTGGATCCATGGGCTGTGGCAAATGGGATGAAGTTCAAGAAGGCAAAGGGCTGGGTCCTGCACTTGGGCCACAGCAACCCCCTGCAACGCTCCAGGCTTGGGAAGAGCAGCTGGAAAGGGAGCTGGGGGTGCTGAGTGATGGAGCTGAACAGGAGCAGCTTGTGCCCAGGCAGCCAGGAAGCCCCCAGCATCCTGGCCTGTACCAGCACCACTGCGGCAGCAGGGCCAGGGCAGGGATTGTGCCCCTGTGCTGGGCACTGGTGAGGCCGCACCTCGAATCCTGTGTTCAGCTCTGGGCCCCTCACTGCAAGAGAGACATTGAGGTGCTGGAGCGGGGCCAGAGAAGGGCAGTGGAGCTGGTGCAGGGCCTGGAGCACAAGTGTGATGGGGAAGGGCTGAGGGACCTGGGGGGTTCAGTGTGGAGAAGAGAAGGCTCAGGGGGGGACGTTTAAGTTTTCAGACATAAAAGGGGAGACTGAGCTGAGCTCTTAGGCAGAAGCTCTTCCCTGTGAGGGTGCTGAGGCGCTGGCACAGGGTGCCCAGAGAAGCTGTGGCTGCCCCATCCCTGGCAGTGTTCAAGGCCAGGTTGGACACAGGGGCTTGGAGCAAGCTGCTCTATGGAAGGGGTCCCTGCCCATGGCAGGGTTGGAGCTGGAGGAGCTTTAGGGTCCTTTCCAACCCAAACCAGTCTGGGATTCTGGGGTTCTATGATTAACCCTTGAGCTGCTCCTGATGCTTGCAGGTTGAGAAAAATGCCTGGAAACAACAGTTCACATGCAAGTGTGAGGCCCTATCTCCCGCAGGTTTCATAACCATGAAATAGCCATCATCTCACTACATCCATGTGTGTAGAAGTGGAAAACTTGTCTGGTTCATCTCTTTGCCAGGTTTCTTGCCAATAAATCACTGTCATCTGGTCTAAGGCAAACAAACACGGCTGCTTTCAACCATGAATATTTAGTGATGACAAAAGGCTGGAGGCAACTTCCATAACAGCAACAGTTTGGATCTCAGTAGGGGCAAACTCTTCAGAAACGGCCACAAACCCCTCTCATGCTGCTAGGAAAAGCCCTTCCCTTAAAACCAGGAGGAGGATTAAGCCCTTACCCCCATCAGCTGCAGCACAGCACAATAACCATTGGGCTCTGGGCAGCTTTGGTTTGGCATCTCACTGCCTCAAAGGATTTCTCCAGGGGCTACAGCCCGTTGGCCCCCAGCACTGGCCCTGTTTGCTCCTCTGCTGCTTCCCATGATCCCATCAAAGCCAGTGAACCTGCTCCAGGCCAGCGGCATCACCTCCTCCCTGGTGAAGTCCCCTCAGCTGCTTCCTTCTCCTGAGGTCCTGTCATGAGCCAAGGCTTGGTTCAGTGTCAGGGGTACAGCAATAGCATCACCTCCTGCGTGGCATCAGCCACCACCAGCTTAATTGTGCCTAATGCAACAGGTCGCAGTCCTCCCACTGCCTGGTTCCCTCTGCTTTTCCATCCAGGTCTCCTGCTGCATCTGGTCTCAACAAATGTGATTTCATTCCTAACAGCCATTTAAGAAACCCCTTTGTGCAATGCTCTAGGCGATGACCTGTAACATCAGACACAGTTTGCACAAAGCAGCAGAGCAAACATCACTCTTTTCCCTCTTTAATGGCCTTCTCAGGGTGGATTTCCAAGCAGAAGGGTCACACAGCTTCCCGCTTCCCACAGCCAGACCTGGACTACAAGGGATCCCCCCAGCATCCCTCCGAGGGGAGCAGGGCAGCATAAAACAGAATCGTAGAGTCATGGAATGGTTTGGGTTGGAAGGGACCTTAAAGCTCCTCCAGCTCCAACCCCTGCCACGGGCAGGGACCCCTTCCATAGAGCAACTTGCTCCAAGCCCCTGTGTCCAACCTGGCCTTGAACACTGCCAGGGATGGGGCAGCCACAGCTTCTCTGGGCACCCTGTGCCAGCGCCTCAGCACCCTCACAGGGAAGAGCTTCTGCCTTAGATCCAACCTGAACTTCCCCTGTTTAAGTTTGAAAGCGCAAACAGCTCAGGACCTTCAACCCAACCCCCAGCTATTCCCCGGCACGGGGCTGCTTTAGCTCCCTGCTTTCCCCTTGACATCTCGCCTCCCTCCTGCTGAACCCCATCGCTTCTCAAGCAGCCTTTTGGGGTTGTCCATCTCCCACCAAACCTCTCCTTGCCCCCCTTTAGCACCAGGCAGCTGAGCAGAGGGGTTCAGCACCTGGTGCTGCAGCAGCATCTTCCCTGCTCTTCCCTCCTCCTGCTTGAATGGGAACCTGCCTCCAATGAGAAATCTGGGACGAATCTGTTCCTCCTCATTTCGGAGGATCAGAAACCTCTCAGCTCAGAGGTTGTGACAGTAATACCTTAATGCACTGTAAATGCAGTGTCTCTCCTCCCATGGCAGGGAGCACACAAAGCCCCAACTGCTCCATAGAGGCAGCACAGCATTAACCCACTGACAGGGTTTCTCATGGAACGAGAAACATGAGCTCTACCTCTGCTGCTCATACCATAGACAAACGTTACAGATCCAGGCTCCAGGCTGTCACTCGGGTCACTGATCACTGCCCAGAGCCTTTGCAGACAGGAATGTTGGTGTCAGAGAGTTCAGCATCAACCCAACTTTGCAAGATGTAACTTGGAGCCTATACAGCTAAAATGTACCTTACACAACTAAAACACATGGATGGATGCTCTAACCCTGCTCTGGTTTGGTTGCTTCAGCCACCTTCAGCCCTCCCTGAGCTTTCAACTGGTTCTTCCCCAGCAGATTACCCCTGATTTAATTAGGAATATTTGCTTAGCAACTGGGGAATAAGTCAAGCAACACAACTTCAGGCTCAGCCTGGGCAGTCCTGCTGTCCTCACCTTCTCCTTCATGGAGACAGGAGATGGGAGCATCCCAGTCCCTGGGTCTCACATCCTTCCAGGAGAGCAGTGATGTTATCCCAGTGTACACCGGGATGGGGTCAGTGACCCCATTCCCAGAAATCTGGCGTTCCATCTCTTCTACGAGGCACAAAAGCTCTGGGATAACAGCTGGGATAACACAAATTCTCCACCGGTGCCACCCATGGAGGCAGAAGGAGGGACGGGACCTGCATCTTCATTGCTCAGCATGAATTTAGTGCTCCAGCTCTAGAGCACGCAGCATCCCTGGGCCTGTGTTAGTCAGACTCCATGTGTAACTCAGCCGTGGAGTGAATCCTTCAATCTCTCCGTGCCTCAGTTTCTCTCTACATTAAGGGAATATTTCTCGCCTCCCACCTCGAGTCTATTTAAATCCTGCACCAGAAGCCTTGCGCTGTGCTCACGGCTGCAGAAAATGAGAAAAACACTGAAATTTGGAAGAGGGAGGAAAATTGAACGCTGTCTAAACACTGCCGCTTGCTCAGCCCTCAGCACAGGTACAGAGCATCGCTGAGAGCCCCGTAGGGATAACTGATGCCTCTCTTTAGCAGGGTACCCAGCACCAAGCACGACAGGAACCCAAACACCCTGGGATCCTCTCTGCCTGCGGCAGTCCAGTTCCTAAAAGCAGCACGTCTTCCTAGAGCAGTCATTGTGGTTGATAGATGGGGAAGTGAGAATTGAACTGCTCACCCAAAACAACAGGAGCTATTTCTCGTTTCTTGCTGTGGATTTAGCAACGGTCCTGCTTGGCCCCTAAGGAACAAGGTTTGGTGGCTAAAAAGGATCAGCCAAGTTACTGTGTATTGCTGTTATTTCACCCAGTGACTGTTGGCTTTAACAGAGCTAAACCCCATGCAGGCCTTTGGGGATGGAGGAGTTACAACTCAGGCTATAGTGAGACCTATTTTAATATCCTAAAACTGTGATTAACTGGGTGGGATTATGGTGGCCAAAGGATGTTAATGCGGATTCCAGTGGAATGGGGATCACGTTCCAATGGCTTCACAATGCCAGTGAAACGATACCCAGCGAGTCCTTCCGCAGCTCCTCTTGCACGGCATTA